GAGAGAGAGAGAGAGCTAAATTCTTTTCAAAAGTGTACGTAAATTATGTATCTACTCTCGCTTTTTATTTCAAAATTTGGATTGAATTTTGACAAAATGTTTTCGAATACACCCACCCTATACCTCATGATACCACAGATTGAGAAGCTCAAATAAAAAAAAATCAAACTTTTGGGTTTGGTACACATGAACAACTGGCTGATGATTTAATATTATCTTTGTTAAGCATTTTGTTCTAACTGGTCATCATCATCATCATCATCATCATCATCATCATCAATAACTATTTTATAGAGGCAAAGGCAATCGATGTCCAGGTGCTGTTTTAGCCTTCTTACTGGTCATTCTAACGGTCTGTTTTTTCAGAGCCGGACGCGGACCGTGTGGAGAAAGTCCGTCTGGTGGGTGGCGAGGAACATTCTGGAACTGTGGAGATCACGTACAGGGGCACCACTGGGGTCATTTGTGATGACGACTGGGACATAGAAGATGGTCACGTGGTCTGCCGCATGTTGGGATACACGTAAGAAGATTTTTGAGCAGATGAGTGTGCTGGTTATATACCCAGTGTACACGTCTGATCGAATTCAGTCGCTAATCGAATTGAATCGAATTGAGTCGGGACCAGCTAGATTTTCCTCCCTCTGAATGTGCATGTGTGTGTGTGTGCGTCTGTGTGAGTGTCTGTTTTCTTCTGTTTGTTTGTGTATGTGCCTGTGTGTGTGTGTGTGTAAGTATGTGTGTATGTGTGTGTGTATGTGTGTGTGTGTATGTGCCTGTGTGTGTGTGGAAGGGGGGGGGGGGGTTACCATTTTGGCACGATTTGATCAAATCCTCCAAAGTCAAACATGTGCCAAGATAACAGCTTTTGCCCCTTATGAAGGAGCATCCTGGCCGACCCCTAACAGTATCAAATGAATCAAATTATGTATCATTTTATAAGCAATAGGCACTGAGTATTATAAAATTCATCTCAACACGCTTTCCTGCATGTGTTGAAAGTATTCTCCTTTTTTTCGGCTCGTTGTTATCTTGTTGCTAGCAAATATGTTCTTCTTTCTCGCGAAGTCAAAGCCACACCCTGTAACTTTTCCTCTCTTGGTGTTCACAAGGAAAAACGCAGAACGATGGTGAACTTTCTCGATGAGATTGTAGAGAAGGCTTCCACAAGAACTGTAGGTTTTATTGCCAAACGCACTACAGGCTAAATCTAGATATCTCCGGCAAACTGCATGGTGTTACATCAAACGAATTCTGTTAATGAAAACCAAACTAACCTCCACAGCGGAGCGTATCGAGTATCTGTAATGAACAGCTTCAACTACCCGCCAGAGAGCAGTATCTTCATGCTGGACAATGTCCACTGCTCTGGCAACGAAACCAACCTGGCACAGTGTGGCCACAACGCTTGGAAAGTCCATGACTGTCGAGCCTATGAGATCGCCGGAGTAGAGTGCCAGGTAGCCAAAGGTGAGAGGTCGAGCTGTAGCTCGGTAAACAGGGTAGGGAGGTGTTACGGGTTTGATTGATTGATTGGGTAGATGTTTTACGGCACTATCGACACAATTATGGTCATTTAAGCGCCAGGTGTTAGGGGCATATTACTATGATTATTATTTTAATTGCGATTGTATAT